CCTTTTCTTTTCTTTATTTTCTCTCTTTTCTTTATTTTTTATTCTTCTTCCACCTTCCATTTCTTTTACTTTATCTCCTGTGAAAGCCGAGGAGAAACATGCAACTATACGGTTGGTTATAACTAAAACAATTAGTTTGTCCGTCTATAGCAATTGTATTGTGAACATATAAACACTATGGTGTGTATGTGTAGAAAGGATTCATCAAGAAACTGAAGGAGATTGAGAATAAAAACACAACCAAACAAGTAGATAGGAGGTTGAGAATAAAAAAACAGTAGTACATGTCCGTATCTAGCGTTAGTGGTACACATCGATAAATGACATTTATTGTAGAATTTTATATATATATATATATATATATATATATATATATATATATATATATATATATATATATATATATATCGAGTGACCTCAGTAATTAAAGAGAGTGTTGTTCTTTCTTAATATCTTGGATTCGAATAATTATCTATGCACGGTGTGTATATTATCAATGGTTAAGAAATATTATAAATATATATTAACTTATAATCATCACTTACTATTCTTATACACTGTGTAAATAAGCCTAGAAATGAGCTTACATCAAAAAATTAGATCCCAGCAACCTTCGACCACCGTACTCCGACTTCTTCTTGTCTTAATTTTTATATCAAAATTTTTGTCACCATTTCTTTCATCCCAAACTGTTAAAAGGTGAAAAAATCAACTTACTTTACTAGTTAAAGGAATCGTTGTTATTTCTAGAGGTAATGGATTTGAGCACCAACGACTACAAGGGTGATTGGACGTTCATTGTCAAATGGTTGAGAGTATTTATAACAACTAATACTTTGTAATCACCTTAGTTTAATAAAAATAATTGTTAAAAGTTTTTTTTCTTTTTCAAAATCACAAAATGGAGATTTAATTATGGGATATCCATATCTCAATCTCTAAAATTAACTGTCAAATCAAATTAAAAAAATCAATGCAGCTACCATGTCCTTAAATATCTTTTGATTGTTCGAATTTTCTTTTAAATAGCTTAAAGCCTTCAATTTGTTGAAATACAAAGAAGACAACAAGGATAGGAAGCGAGAATGGTGGAAAAATACCTAAAAATTTTAAAGGTGGTGTTTTTACACATTTGAATGGTTAAAAGAGTTCAAGGACATAGAAAAACCAAATTGATGTTTTTAATCTGATTTGATGACCAAATTTAAAGATTAAAGTGTGGATATCTCAAAAATAAATCTTAATTTTATGATTTCTGAGAAGTTTTTTCCTTCAAAAATGTGATAATAATTTAAGGTTGAGAAAATAATGATAATAATTTTTGTGTAAAAATTGGGTCAAGAAAAATTCGTAGCATGATGGTTATCAAAATATGTGTTTTTGATGTAACTCTCTTTTTAAGCTTAGTACTAATTTGACCCCTAAATTATAGCTTATTCCCAATATGATCCTCAATGTGTCACTCATGAATTAATTAGTCTTTTTTCCAATGATGTCAAATTGAGATGCCAAAACCGTTGGCGAAAACAAGATTTTAAGGATCACATTAGAAGAGATAAACCTTTAGAGGTCAAAACGGGAATTAAACCACACTTTAGGGCCAAATTATCTATTCAGCTTTAAAATAAAACAAGAAAATTGTATATTTTTTTATTACGCTAAGGTGATTATAAAGTAATATTTGTTATAAATACTCTCAATCATTTGACAATTAACGCCCAATCACCTTTGCAATCGCTGGTGCTTGAATCTATTATCTCTAAGAACAACAACAACAACATCATTAAAAAAAAAATAAGAACAACAACAATTCCTTTAATCAATCAGGTAAGTTAGATTGTAAAAAATATTGTTACAAAGAAAAAGCCTCCAATCATATTATTACATTTGACGCATACAATGTGTCATGTGAGCTAAAAAATGTAAAAGATTTATACACATGTCAGTTTCTTATTGCATATTCACACATTGGTTAGGATTTTAGTAGAATTAAATTCACTTCGATAACGTTGATAAAAAATCACTTATAAAACATGAATATTTAGGATTAGTGATCCCAATATCTAATAGTATAAAGTAGTTGAATATAAGTTAGTATTTTTTTATTAAAAAAAAGTTAAAACGAGAAAAATACAATGTTAACACATAGTACACTACTTATAGGGATACATAAGAGTTTTTGCAAACTTCTGTTGTTGTTTTTTTTAATTTAGGTCAGGGGTGGCTCCCCCAGTTCAGGGTCAGGGCATACCTAAGATCCAATGATTTACATAGGATACATATTGCCCACCAAAAGTGATGGTAGTAGTATTCAAACTTGCTCTTCAAATAATCGAAGCAATATCAACATAAAATGGATACATACAATAGACAATATTTAATGTGATTTAGTCTTTTCTACCTCCACGGGTAAAAAAAAAACAATAACTCATTATAGATGTAGAAACCAAAATGATACAAAAACATGATAACTCATATATTCTAAAATTCAACATTTATACCAAAACTGAAAGTATCGCTCTCTCAATATCCTATAAAATTTTATCTCTATAGCATAATCCCTAAAAGTGACAGAGATATAAAAAATGATTACATCTCTCCAAAAATAATTTTCTCCTTTACAATTCTAAAGGGTACGAGATATTCTCTGTTTATAGAGTCAAATACTTGGTCACCAAGAATTGTTATTCCATAATAATTATTGTCTAAAATTAATATTTACTTATTAAATAAACTCAATTACCAACACTTGTGGATCCATATTAGGTATTAGGTTTAGAATGGGCACGCGCACACCCTGAAACCTAAATTTTCTTTGATTATTTATTTAATTTACTGATTATGTTCATCTTAAAATTTTATTTGTGCCAATCCATACAAAAAGAATTATGTTATTAATGTGTGTTCTCTCTAAAAAATATTTATGGATCCTTTATTGATTACTAAGCAACATTTACCCACTAGAACTACATCAAAATTTAACTTAATTACTAATTATAAAAATTCAAGATACAACAATTCATGTGTAGTTTATCTAAAAGAATAAAAAAATTATTAAAACATATTTTTTCGAAGTTTTAAGAAAGAATAATCTTTGAAAAGAACATTATCGCGAGGTGAGTAAATACAAGCTATAATTTATCTTAACAATAACTCAAAATTTAATGTAAATGTATTAAAACGATAGGTAGAGTACATAAATAATTTCCGATTACAAGACGATGCTTTGTTTAGTACCTTGATTATTAGAAGTTAAAAAATAGTTTTTCGATTATAGGGCATTACTCTGTTGAGTCCCTCGATTATTAAAAGTTACAAAATGGTCACCCGACTTATCATATGTTCCAAACTCGTCCTTTTCCGTTAAAAAATTAACTATTGTCTAAACTAGACATTAACTTGTTGACTGAGATGTGATAAAATATTTTCTCATAATCGTTTGAACTGTAGTCGTTTGATATTCTGAGATCAGATTTTATCATATAACAATGAACATGTTAACATTCAGCTCAGACGACCGTCAATTTTTTAACAGAAAAAAACGAGTTTGGAACATATATATGATTAGTCGAGTGTATATTTTGTAACTTTTAATAGTCGGAGACTTAACAAAGCAACGCCTATAGTCGAGGGATAATTTTTTAACTTTTAATAATCGAATGACTTAATAAAACAATGCCAAATAGTCAAAATGACTATTTGTGTACTTTACCCTACTTCGATTAACCCATTGATCATTAATTCAAAGGATGAAATGGAATATGATTTCAACCTTGGGGAAAAAAACTTTGTTTTGATTACAGAAAGCTGCCACCTTTTATGCAGAAGGAAGTGGATTGGCTCAAAATTTTAATAAAAGCTCCAACCAATGCCAACTCAACTACCCCAATAGATCCTTTGCTACTCTAACTCGGGGCACGAAGATACCACTTTGTAATTATAGTCTCTTTGGATTGGTTGATTTAATATCATTGAGTAAATAAAACATAAAACATGGAAGCAAGTACAACAGCTTCTACTTGTAGTATTCTTATCATTGCTACTTTAGTAAGTACGGTCACGTTTCACACTCACAACCACCCTCCACATGGCTCGGCCTCATCAAATCACCTACCAAAACCAGCCATCCTTTACAATTTTAATTATTATCCCTTAATTTCCAAATTGCAATTATCTTTGGAATCAACTTTGCTCATACCAATCTGGAATATATTTGTTTGCTTTGATCCTTAATGATTTTATTCGGGATAGAAAGGGACTGAAGTAAGATTTCATGTTAGAGGGGTGAACTTATAAAATTTTAAGTAGGAAATAACTTATAAAATTTTAAGGGATAAAAACATATTTTCAACAGAAAATATCTAAAATATATGACTTTGAAATATTTAGGGGGAGCAACCGCCCCGACCTGCCCCCTCTAGGTCCATCCCACATGATTTTATATAATGAGGTGAACTTCTAAAAGTTTGAGAGATAAATTTATAAAATGCTAGAGGACGAAAATAAATTATCAATAGAAAATATAAAAAAAATATCAAAAATATATATTAATTTAAAACTTTTAAGGGACGATTATCCCATCCACTCTCCTCAGTTCATCGATGATCTGAGGTTAAGTTGACATACTGATGGGTATAGCAAGGATGGATAAAGGGGGTTTGGAGACTAATAGGGTGAATGTCACTTTGAAATTTTCAAATTCTCATATAATTTAGATATTTTTTATTAATAATATATTTTCATTCTTAAAATTTTATAAATTCATCCTTTAACATTAAATCTTATGTCTACCTATTGATTCAGGGCTTTACCTAAATGGTAAGAAGTGCATTACTCACTCTAAAATTAAAACAAGGTTTTGAACTTATCTCCATGTTAATGACATGCGTCTATAAATACCTTAGCTCTATATCTCCATGTTCATCAGCTTCAACACTTACAAACTCAAAAACACTTTGAAATCCCAAAGTTGAGAAGGTAATTAGCTTACCTTTAAAAAAATGGTCAAGTCAAATGCTATTGAGCTCGGAGATGATCGAAAGACTCGTGGAGTGAACAAAGGTGTGTCGATACTAGACCTGATTTTCAGGATACTGGCCTTCATAGGCACCTTGAGCAGTGCAATTTCGATGGCGACAACAAAAGAAACGCTGCCGTTCTTTACGAGGTTTTTCCGATTCAGAGCCGAGTATAATGACCTACCAACACTCACGTATGTTTAATCTTTCCTCAAACATCAATAGCATGCTTGTTTATATCTGTCGGAAATTTTTAACACTTATGCTATCTATTATGGCAGTTTCTTTGTGGTTGCCAATGGCGTTGTAAGCGGCTATTTGCTGCTTTCTCTTCCTTTCTCGATCATCCTCATCTTAAGGAGCAATGCTCAAAGGATTAGGATGATCTTGATGTTCTTTGACATGGTAATGATTCCCAGCTTGACAAATATTTAATTTACTTTTTCATTGCATGTTTCTTCGTATGTTCGTTGTTAATGTAGTTGTGTCGGATAGTGTTTAAGTCAATTGGTACCTGTACAAAATAAAATGTAAATAAGAACATAAAAGAGTTTATTTACATTTGACACATTGACCAATAAGCATATCTCTACGGAACCCTACTCAGAGAAAAGTCTATTATAATATTCTTAATACAAGAGATATAAATCCTCAACTTAACTACACATTTGTCTGCAAAACACATAATCTGATATTGAATGGTCCTCTAGAAAATCATAATAGCTCATTTGAACAAAATATACTAACAAAATAAATTTAAAATGTGTGGTCGAAACTGTTCATGTCAGTGCTTGATCTAGTGGGCACTGTCTCAGACACTGACTGTAGAGACTTTATACCTACATTCGTGTATAGTGTTGCGTTGAAACTGTGTTTATATTGAACACATCTATTGTGTACTTGTTGTGATGTAGGCAATGGTGACTCTTTTGACAGCGGGAGCTTCCGCCGCGGCAGCTATTGTGTACTTAGCACATAAGGGGAATCGCAAGGTGAACTGGCTCGCCATCTGCCACCAATTCAACGCCTTCTGCGAGCGTATTTCGGGTTCGTTGATCGGATCCTTTGCCGGAGTCATCCTTATTGCACTGCTGGTTATGTTAGCAGGTGTTGCCCTTGCTCGACGTCCTTAGATCCCTTTACGGTCTGACGATTGGTGTGATTTGCAAAATATGTATGTGTTTGTTTTCAATGGTCTTACATTTGTCTGTAAGAATCATCTTCATGTGTAACTTTGGATGTTTATAATTATATCAAATTCACAAGTGGGATATTCTGAGTTTAATTGAGATTAACATATTACGACATTAGCGTCATTAGAGTGTGGACGGCAAACGACAACAATGGAAGGGGTCGAAGCTAAAAAAATTTGAATGTTTTTTTATTAGACCCGAGGTAAATATGATATTTTTCGAGAAAACGGATTTCAGATCCGTTATTAAGAGATAAGAAAAGCTTTATCTATAAATTTGGTTTGAGTTGTCTGTCATTGACGATCAACGATACGGTTAAAGACCGAACGATAAGACGTCGACAGTCGGTCTCTGAAAATAAACAGAGAAAAAACAAGCAGGAAGAAGAAATGATGAAACGAAGAGAATTTTGAAATGAATTAGCGGTTTTTATATCTTTATAGAAACTATGTTATTTTGAAGAGTGGTCACTGGGAATCGGGTTGGGCATGGGTAGGATTTTCAGGCAATCCAACCAGATCCGAAAATTATACATCCTCTATCCGATCGAATCTGATTTGAAAAATATATATTCTCCACCTGACCTGAACTCGACCAGACTTTGTGAGGTAAAATCTGAACCCGACTCGATCCAACACGAAATAGTATATTTATTAAAAAAATATTATTTTTATTCAATAAAAATATGGATTTAATTTTAAAAAATAATAAATGGAGGGGTATTATTGCAATTATCCTTAAATATATAAGATAAATTTATATTTCTTTTTCGGGTCGGGTCGGATATTTTTTACCCTTAACCCGAAGCCGACCCGACCCGAACATAACCTCTAAAAAAATCCGACCTGACCTGATTTGAACTCAATTATTTTTAAAAAATTAGGATCGGATTGGATGGAGTTGGGTAGAAACCCGTCGGTTTTAGTCCCGTGCCCATCCCTACTTGCACATAGATCCTTGTCCATTTTTTGAAAAAATGGGCAATCACTTTTTGGGCCACTCCATTTTCTTGTTTTATTAGATTGTCTCCCTTAAATTGCAATTAGATTATTAGTTTTGGCCCTAGGAAAATTAGTTCTTTCAATTAAGTCCATATGTTAACATGAATTTGTACTTTGTGATTTTTGAGAGCAGAAAGTCATGTAAGGGACTTGGGAACAAACTAACTATTTTAAAGCCCGTCAAGGAGAGTGTAGATACCCATTTTCGTCCGAGGCTTATTTAGTATATATATTAATTTAGTATAGTTTTTGAATATATATATATATATATATATATATAATATATAGTTTTTTAAAACATTTTAGATATATATATATATAATATGTTTTTGAAAACATTTTGAAAGCATATATATAATATATAGTGTTTGAAAATATTTTGAAAATATATATAATATATAGTTTTTGAAAACATATATATAATAAATAGTTTTGAAAACATTTTTTTGAAGATACATATATATTATATAGTTTTGAAAACGATTTTTTAAAATATATTATATAGTTTTGAAAACGATTTTTGAAAATATATTATATAGTTTTGAAAATCAATTTTTGAAAACATATATATTATATAGTTTTGAAAATAATTTTTGAAAATATATATATTATATAGTTTTAAAAATGATTTTTTTTAAAACATATTTTTTAATTTTAGTTTTTATTATATATCATATTAACACTATTTATCTTTATTATTATTAATATTCTTTTTCCGTTTTTTGTTTTTTAGGTCCAACAAAAGCCCAACATCGGTCCAAAAAGGAAGCCCAACCGAGCATGCAAGCCTAACCCAACAAGCATCCTCGGTGGGAGGCCCAAGGAGGATTAGATTTTTCCAAACCCTAAGAAAACCAACTGGCAGCGGCGTGCGTGTATGTCACGCGCCAGTCAAGTTTCGAAAATCATTCGAAAAAGTCGGGACTGAGCCATCCCAATATTTCTGGTCAACACGAAACCAACCGGATTTTCCAACAACAAACGTCGAACGTATGAATCGGGATTCCACTATCCCATAATATCCGGTAACAAACCCCGTCGAAGGGACTATATATACGATGGAACAACAACGATCTAGGAGGCAAAAAAAAAAAAGAACAAGAGTCAAAGCAGCGAAATACCAAAGTGCAAGCTACAAGAAAATATCACCATAAAAACCGAGCCAAAGAAAAAGTGAAAATAAAGAAAAACAGTCGAAGACGAGCCAAAAAAAAAAAACAAAGCTCAAAGCTTTGTTGCATCACGAGCATTCGGAGGTACATAGGAGCATCGTCGGAGAGATAAAGGCACTGGAAAACGAAACGTTTCAAAAAAAAAAGGTAAAAATCATAACGTTTCTTCGTAGATCTACGTCGGTGTGGTACCTTTTTGGGCAACCGGGTTTCGGATTGGTGTTAAGGGAGTCGGGAGGAGCATTTTGGTGAAGTTTGATTCAACGATGGCCAGAGCGACGGTCGGCGGGGCGGGGCTTCGCCGGAACGGTGGTCGGCCATGGACCGGTTGGGGGTTTAGGTTGAGAGGTTTTTTTGAGAGGGGAGAGATTTTTTTTTTGTTTTTGGGTATTTATAACTGAGGGACTAAAGTGAAAACATGATATTTTTAAATTATTTCCGCAGTCCATGTAAGTTTGATGCGTAATTCGTTTTGGTCACCTGATGTAAATTGGCTTTGAAATTTCGAATTTATTCAATTTAATCATTGTCTAAATTTATTACATTTTTCAATTCAGTCCCCTAACTTTTATTTTTTTCTCTTGCAGCTCATTTTTAGTATTAATTCAATCCATAAATTTCAATTTGTTCCAATTTGATCCCTTAAGTCTTATTTATTTTCTTTATTTTATTATTTCTAACATTTAACGTTTTTTTTTGGTTTATTTCTTTTTTGAAAAAAATAACATTTCCTTAATTTTATTTTTTTTTTATTTTTAACATTTATACATTTTATTTTCTATTTTTTTTAAAGTTTAATATTTTCTTCATCTTATTTTATTTTTATTTTATTTTTCTCTTTTAACATTTTTACCTTTTTTATTTTCTTAATTTAATTTTTCTCTCTCTTTGATTTAGTTAATATTTATCTTTCAATCTAACATTTTTGACTTTTTTAGGGACAACTTTAATCAATTAAAGGTAAGTAATTTGAATCGAATATTTAAATTTCAATTTAAAGTTTAATTTTCGCAATTAAGACAACCGAGAAATTAAAATGGTACCAAAAAGGCAGTACAAAAATGCTAATCCTTCTTTGACTGTAACCGACTCCTGAATCCGACATATCTCAAGTAAAACGCAGATCAGGTAAGATGGTGTCCAATCAACCTAAATATTTTTTAAAATGATCGGTGGCGGCTCTAACGTATTTTATTTAAGGCGAAACTCATTTCCGGACCCACCTGAAAGACGACTCCGACAGAGAGTGTTGTCTAAAATTTTGGTCTTTGTGATTATAATTAGGATTTACCGACTAAGAAATTAAGTCTGATAGGGAGATGAAAATAAGTTAAAATTAATAAGTTTTGAAATAAATCTCAATTCTAATAAAGCTATTAAAAAGATAATTTAAAGGTGACCGACTTAAAAATATAATAAGTTGTGTATTCTTTTATCTTTATTAAAGATTTTTTTCACAAGGTTTTCATTTTAGTAAGATTTGAAAGAGACACATTATCTTCGTGGACAACCAAGGAGAGAGTTGTTTAGTTGTGTTGTAAAAAAGAAATAGGGAAAAGAATGATTTGGAGGTTGTGGAGTTTCAAACCTGCTACCCCAAGGTTGAAAATCAATCTTTCAAATGCTTGAGCCATAGCACCCTGATACTATAAGATATCTTAGTTTAGTTTTAAAGCATTTCCCCGATAAACTGACATATTAGGGTATAAAATCTAATTGCTTGTATTGAGACCCTTCATTTTCTCTTTCTTCACCGAAGCTTTCTTCCCTTTATACTAGCCACAACCTCTGTTTCGTTGCCATCTAGTCATTCGTGAGCCACACCTTTGATATCATTAGCATCGACACACCGTCCCGGGTCGACTGATACCTTCACTTTCATTATCGTTGTCGTTGTTGTGGAGCTTGGAAGGGGAAACGTTTTGTTCGATTATGGAAACACTTTCCCATCGCTCTTCCTTGCGAACCAACTCAGGTAAGAGACTCCGCAACTTATGTTCTTTTTCAATTATGCAGTTTCTTGTATTTTTTTGGGACTCTGGATGACTCACATGCACCATACACATCGCCTTATGCGAGTGGCCTTCTGCTATCACCTGGAGATTCAGTCTGAATCCAACCCAGAACATAACCAATACCCGTTTCAGCCCAAACCGTGAAGCAGGCTCATTTGTAATCCAAAGCTTGTTAGGCTGACCTACTTGGCCCAAATCGCCCATCTAAGCCCAATTCTAAGTTCAAAACCTTAGTCTAAACCTGAATCAGCCTAACCCAAACAAAGCCCAAACCAAACCTAATCTGAATTGGTTCAGTTCGAACTAACCAAGTCAAGTTGAGCCATTTGACCATTGACCATTAATATCATTCACTTTGACTTTGACCAATATTGGCTTTTTTGTTGACTTTGACCCTGACATTTTTTGATGTGCTAATTCTATTTTCATGATCAGTTTTGTCAAATTCTAACCCAAAAACTTTGAATTCAACTCGTTAACTCAAGCATGTATTTGTAACTTTAGTATCTTAGCAAACCACTTAGCTTAGTAGAGGTATGTTCGTGATAATGTTATATTCTCGTTCTATTTTTTAATCATAATGAGTGTGTGATTGGTTTACATATTTAAAAAAAATCATGATTTCTATTTATTGTTATTTCAATAAATTATATGCATATTTTAAATTATATTTTAAAAAAAATCAGCCTTTTGATTTTTCCTAAATACATACATACTTATTATTACTGTTATCGGGATTGTTATAGGAAGAA